TACCTGTCGTTCTCTCCTGTACAGGTGTGATACCACACACGCTACACAAAAGCCTGGGAACATTACAATTGAGTAGAAATACATACATCACACTACAGAAGGCCACTATATTGAATACATGCCATATTGTTAGGAAATTCCTTAATACTGACACTGACACACACATTTAATTTTAGTTTTGTTTTGGTTGCTATGCCTTGACTCTGGTCCGGCATAGTACACAGCCACCGGTGTGTACCGAGTATAACCCACTAAACCCAACATAATAATAATAATAATAATATAGAAATTTGCTATTCTTATATTTTTGATTTATTTGTCTTTTATATAAATCATCTTGGTATAAAATTAAAAAATTTTTATTTTACTTCTTATTTTTTCTTACTTTTGAATAATTATTAAAATTAAGCAAACATATTTTAAAAACTAAATTTTTCAATTTACAGTTGGAAACATTAAAAAATAGATTGGACAGAAGAAATGTCAAGATTTCAAAAGTTGCTGATTCGTAAGTATACGTTTAATTATATCTACTTGTATAAATTTATATTGAATATAATATACAAGACATAACAGAATCCTATGCCATTCTTTGAAGTATAAACAAAACTGTGATAGTATAGCAACTTGACTAATATTTTATAACATGCATTTTTTCCATTGATTAATTGGAGACAACAAATAAATATATTTTTCATAATGTCTTCAATAATCATATATACCATTGTTTGTTTTTATCCCAAGTTAAATTGTTTACGTAATGTTCTTAAATGATATTTTGTAATCTGAACATTATTAATTTATGTTATGAAGAAGGCACAAACACAAAATCTAAGATTTTGATCACTTTTTCTTAATACTGGTAGTTTTTAACCAAATGAATAAGCCACTAAATTTTTGTCACCCAAAAGCAAAATATCAAAGATTTTAAATTAATTATTAAATAATTTGTCACTAGCTTGTCACTAACAAAAACTTCAGATAGTTAAAATGATGTCATCTGATATTAAATGACATCAATTAATATTGTTTGAAATCTAATCAATTCATGTTAGATGAAAAGTATTTTAGACTGTGAAATGTCATTTAATATGAATTATCAATTGATGACTTATTGTTATTGAAAATATATTTAATATGAGTTGTTTTCAATGAATATTTCAGGCTAAGAAATTGAAATAACTCGTAGTCTGGAGATAAAGACGTAAATAAAAATATAGTGTTATATTGAATTATTTCATATATTTTTATTTCATCATAAATGATTCTAATTTAATTCCAAATTAGAATTAAATATGATCTGTAGATTAATTATATAGAATTTGACCATCATTTGAATATTTTAAAAGTTATAGATTTATTGAAATACTTAACTATACATTATAAGTTAATTGAACTAGTAAAACTGACTTTAAATGCTCTAATGACAAGTCCAGTCATATCTTTTAAGATTATTTTAATGTAACAAATGACATCAATTGATATTTCTACTAATGTATGTACTGTACAGCCAGTTTCTAATCTCAGATTATGTGATAATGCAGATTATCTATTCACTGTTTAATGTTATAGAAACCAAGAACATACCCATTACAAAAGAAGCAATGCAAAGCTGCTCTTTATCTCCACATTTATTTAGTAAAAGCCTTAACTTTCTCAAAAATGGATAATGAATGAGAACATATGAAATTAAGAAAGTTCATTTAATATGATTTATATTAATGTTCCTTGTTATCCACTCAAATATATGAATAATCTTGTAGATTTTTGGTTTGATATTCATAAATATTAAATAAATTACACATTAATTATCTTGAAATAATTAATTTTTGTCAGTTACTTTTATTCAAAAATTTTACATATATTAATATTTTATTTTAGCTATGTAAGTTATTTTGAACAGTATCAAGAATACGACCCTTTCATTACAAATCCCGAGCCGTCTAATCCTTGGATATCGGACAGCGTAGAATTTTGGGAATTGGAGAAACAAACGTAAATACGTCTCTTAAGATTTTTCAGTCAATATTATAGAAATTAAATTCAGCATTGTATCGCTTTGTTTTAATTTAAAAATTTATATAAACACGTCATTAATTTATATTATGAATATTATCATATAATAATTATAGATAACATAATTTACAAAAATATAGTCAGTCCTTTTTCTCAATGAGCCAGACTAATTGATCAAAGTAAAATCGTCTGATAATGCATCTCTTGTATAATGCAATTTCTTGAACTTTGTTGTAAGGGACCTCACTGTATTTTTTTGAAGGAATAATAATGCATTTATAAATATTAAACCAACAAATTATGTTTTTTGTTTTATAAACAAATATTTATTTCAAATTATTTTTAACAATATTTTAATATTTTTTAGAGTTGATANTTAATTTATATTATGAATATTATCATATAATAATTATAGATAACATAATTTACAAAAATATAGTCAGTCCTTTGCATTCTAATGACAGCAGATAATCAAATTATTATATATTCAGTCTTTAATTTAGTATAGAAATCAATGTAAAAATTTATATTCTCCTAAACTTATTATTTCGAGATTTACTAGTGGCTCTGTCTGAATGAAATTATCATGACTTTTTACAGCTACATTTGATATTTAAATGTGACATAAAATAGTATTAAACATTCAAAGGTAGTTTATATTTCATAGGCCAACAATTGACAGATTATATTGAGATTAATTTAAATTAATTACTAAATAATTTGTCACTAGTGGGAGGTTTTAGCCACCATCTATCTCTTATTAGATTTAATAATTTCTGGAAGAAAAAAATCAGTACAGGGCAGCACTTGAATCCGCAACTGCCACTTACTGTGTAAATTGTTTCCAGTTATGCAACCCGAGTCTTTGTCCCAATCTCCTCTTCCAGATATATTTATACATTAGATAACCATTGTTGGTTATATATGGTGCTGGCTGGGGATGCATTCAGCACCTGCATCCTGTAAACACGTGCCTAAGATCTAATTATTAAATCCAGTAAGAGATGGCACCTAATGCCTCCCTCTAGTGACAGATTATTTAATTAATTAATTTAAAATAATCATGATATAATCCGGTAGTTGTTGGTGTATTCCGTATGTACTGTACATTAGGTTTACGTACAGTTTATATTAATATTACTGCTGTATGTTTTTTTTATTTACAGTAAAGATATCCCCGCAAGAAGGGTAAGAAGATGGGCATTTTCTCTTCAGGAACTATTAAAAGATCCAGCTGGAAGAGAACAATTTTTTAAATTCTTAGAAAAAGAATTCAGTGCAGAAAATTTAAAGTAAATATTTGTTTTAATTAAAATAGATTAAGTAAAACTAACAAAATTAGTATTGGCATCATACATAAATTACATAATGCTATTTTTACACTTTAATTACATAATATATTCTCAAATCAACCTTCTTAACTATACTAAAAAATAAAAAATGTTAAATTCAGTACTCTGTGCTATGTATTATTTTACTAATTACATTACAAAGCAGGTGACATAAGCAGTATTTCTGAATGCTAAATGGGCAAGGATCCAACAAAAAGCCAATTTCTACTGTTTTTTGTTGAATTAGAAAATAACAATTTCTCAGATTTGGCTATAACTTTCATCATTTAGCAGAAGAACTAGTAACTTAATCTCTACATATCTAACAATCATCATTACATTTTTGTAAACACTCCCACAATTTACTATGTATCATAATAATGACCCGCTTATAAGTCCTCCTATTCATATTTGCATTATGTAATTTATGGAAAGCCCCATTTGTTGTTTTTAAGACAGGTCTTTTCGTAGATTAATAAATTTGGATTATTTTCAAATTCACACCTTAATGATTTTAGATTGTGTTTAGATATTTCTTTTTATTGAAAGATTTTGGGATGCCGTACAAGAACTGAAACAAGTTCATTCAAAAGATGTTCCTGTTAAAGTGAGAGAAATATGGAAGTGAGTAGCTTTTATAAACTTGAAATTTTTGATTTTTTAAAAAGTAGCTACTGTATGTATTTTTAATTGATTATTGAAGAACGTTAAAATTTTATCTCAAAAACATAAAAAAGTGAGTATTTTATTAAAACTTACAAATAGCTGTAAGATATCATTAGAATGGTAATAGAAAGTCAGTTCATTTTGTCCAGTTATAACTCATTATTTTGTCTTACATTTGACCCAGTTAAGATAAAAATCAATTAATTATTGGTTTTAATTTTTTTGTTATACTTAATATACTTAAACTTTGATACCTTTGCATCTAGGTTTATATAAATGTCTTTTCACAATTAATAAAAATAATATACAGTACATGTCATCAAAGACTGTATGGTAAATACATTTTTTCCTCTTCTGCAACAGTTAAATTTACAAGACGTATTCACTCTGTAATGTCTGTGGAACTATTCTGTCCTGGAACAGTTTTTTTTTTTGTTACCATGATTGGTGTGGAGGTCCAGCAGACCTAAAACTGCATTGCTGCAATATAGACCAAAACTAATTTCCATCAATGTTGAAGATTAAAAATTCAGATGCTCTTACAACAATCTTTCAATTTATTGCTACATTTCTAGGATGTGGGATGGTATACAGCATAGATTTTAAACATTGGCTAATAAATAGATTGTATGATTGATTTTTTTTTTTGACATGACGACTATCAGGTTTCTTACAGAATGATTTTCAATATATAAAAATCCCAGGAACATTGTGCAAAGAGACCAGTTTGAAGTGGTATTGTCTGGGATGGCATGATGTTTTGGAACTCCACGTGAGACTTTTTTGGCATTTCATTTTCATAGACGACAATGCCTGTGCATTTACAGCTTTATTTAACAAAATAACCAGCAAGATCTCTAAACCTAAATCTCATAGAACATGTAACTTGTCTTCATAAAGCATCCCACACATCAACTCTGCAGGAGGCAACCATGTACCATATTAATCATTGTCAAAAATGTTTTTTGGTTCAATGTATAGTTCCTGATATATAAACCAAATTGTTACCAAACTTCTATATATGTTGTGTGAAAAATTTTCTGTTATAATTACAGAACAATCAGCAAGCAGATCTTCTCCCTTCGAAATGTCATCAAACAATGCATTGAGTATCGACACTCATTGGCCATCACAATTTCATTGACTTCAGGAAGGCAGTGTTCACTATGTGTCCCTCTGGTGGATCCTGCGACTATATGGTGTACTGGCAAACTTTGTAACTGTTTTCAAGACCTTATATTTGCATTCAAGTTGTTGTGTCAAGACTGGGGGTGGCCGTACAGACTTCTTTGAAATTACGACAGGAGTCAGGCAGGGTTGTGTTCTGTCCCCTTTCCTCTTTCTTGTTGCCTTCGATTACATTATGTGACAGGCAGATGAGCCTGGTGCACGTGTTGAGGCCGGCCAGCCGGCATCCACTGGTCTAACCAAGATCGTCTTAGATATTTGGTTTTTGCTGACAATATTGCCGTATTGGAGGAAAATGAGGCAATGTTACGGTACACCACAGTCACATTGAGCTCAGGATAAATGCTGCCCAAATGTGGGAAGTAATGGTCTGAGCACATTGATTGGAAAAAGTGGAGAGTTTTACTTACTTGGGTAGTGATGTGAGGTGTTGCATTGGAAAGGAATCTTCTGGTCCTCATCATCCATCCACATTCTCACCTCCATTGTGACAGGGCTTAAAGCAGTCATGACAGTGAAAAAAAAAAGTGAAAAAAGAGAGTTCACACTGAAAAAAAGCTAAAAAAAAAAAACTAAGCATTAAAGTGAACTAAAAGAGCCATTATTTAAAAAAAACACACACACACACATTCTGTATCAATAACATTGCATATGATATTAGATTGATTTTTAATTGGACTGAAAAAATTAAATATGAAAATAGTTAGGCTGAGTTTAAACTCCAGAAAAGAGACTAGTAAGACTGCATTAAGCCAGACTGGGCCTGCATTAAATTCCTACTGCTATATAGCAAAGGAAATGGAAGAGTAACATAACTACCAGAATGTGTCTCCATATAACATGTCAAATTTCAAGATATATTTTTTGATTTCTTGTTAAAAAATTTCTTTTGTTTAAGTCATGCTGCAATTTCTGCACTTCATCACACCAGAGTAAGCAATTCACTATAAAGTTTATGTATTAAAGGATCATTGCACTGAAAATGCCCAGTAAACTTTGTGAATAGTTCAGCACTAGATATTCCCAAATAGAGTTCAGCTTTGATGGTAGAACACTTCAATGACTTAGTGTTTCATATAAGATAATCTCAATTCATTAAGCTGGAATTTTTGAGGAATGTGCTTTAGGAAGTATGAGTTCTTCCCATTGTTCGATCAATCGTTTTGCTGCAGGACCAAACGTCATTTATCTAGTTGATGAACACTTCATAAATTTGTTGCATGGCAAATTAAGTTTCTTTTGAATTTCTGTGTATTCATCCCACCTAGAGGCCACCCATCAAAAAAGCTGTGTGTTGCTATGATAAGATCACCACCATCTCTGCCCAACTCTTTCATGCCTTTCAAAAAGGCATTGTGGATTGTATGAATGCTGTAAAGTACTATATTATTTTTTNACTTGGCATTGATTGTCTCCTTTATATCATGACATGATGCAAATGAATAATTGCTGGCTGTCATTTTCATAGTCCATATAAGCTCTGCAATATAAGCACCATCTTTTGTACTACAAAGTTGAAGCACTGGTTGTTGCAATGATTGGTTTTCTGGACTGGCACCTGAGTCTACAACATTGCTCACACTAGCAACACTTTTAGCACTAATACTTTGATATTGATACATCCGAAGGGCAGTCGTCAGTCTTAACTGCTTGGTACCAAAGGCTTCATTGCATTTATTTATGTTTCTTGCAGCTTGAATGTTGGATGATTGCAGTATGGGGGGTGCTGGTTGCTATTTTGCTCCTGAACACATTTACAAAAATAAATTCCACATGGAAAGCTAAAAAAGTGAGTCACTTTAAGCCCTGTTGTGATCCCTGGAAGACATCGGGAAACATCAGAAGGATTGATGTCTTCCAACAAAAATGCTTATGATGAATCCTAAAGATCCAATATTTAGATCATATCACCAATGGAACAGGTCTTCTGAAGGAGTGAGATGTGTAAATTTCATAACATTATTGCCCATAGAAGAGTCCGATTAGCTGGCCATTTTTCTTATGGCAAATAATAGGCATAAGACTTTTCTTCAAGATTTGAAGATGATGAAACCCTCAACCAGGATGATAATTGCTGCCTGGTAAGTTACTTAGCATTGGAGAAACTACTACAGAACATTTTTCACGCTAGATATTGGGCAATATCAATACAGTACTGTATAAAAAAAAAGCCCTTTGCCTTTGGGCAGTACAAATTACATGTATAAATTCAGTTATACAGTAATAATTTGAATCATGCTGTACTTTTGTAATGACTTTATTTACTCTGTAATAACAACTGTACATTTACTATTTGCCAGTTTATGCAATAATATAAACAGAGGTTCTAATAGTCTTCTGTTTCATGGAGATTGTCATTCTATATTCTTACAAACCATATACACGATCCCTTTTCCCAGTTTTTAAATTGAAACATCAGAGAGGGCAACAGCATTAGTACATTCAATTCCCTTATGGTGGAAAATTTGAATATTATACTGCTGGAGAGTTAGACCCTACATGTCAAGTTTTGTACTTTATGGAGTGATTAGGTTCAAATAATTCTGATTCCAATAAATCCAATAATAAAATCTTTTCAGCTTTTACAAAACAGTATAAGTTTCCTTTTATGATGGTGCCCATTGAAGTTCTGCAACACCAAGCTTTTTGCTAATAAATGGAGCAGGAAGTTCCCTTCTGTTTTCACCCATTTGAGCCAAGCAAGTATCAATAGAATGTTATGATGTGTCAGAACATCTTATTATGAAAGACTTAGAAATATTGGGGGAGAACAACAGTGGCATAGTGCCAATAATAAAATATTATTTAGTTAACACAGGGAATATACAAAAGATTTTCTTGTTGGGTTCTACAGATTCTAATTATGGTTCCACCTCCCTCACCCATAAACTTAACATGTGGATTGGCTAATTTAATCATAAAGCTGTTATTATGCAATTTATGGAATACTACATCTAAGTAAATTAGACGAGTTTCCCATTTTCTCAGAAAATACCACCAAATAGTCAATATAAGCTATTACATAATGTGATTATGGGTAACTGAGAGTTGCAGGTTCCAGTCCCACTTTGGGCCAGTTCCTTTCTTTCAGAACCTTCTAAATTATTAAAATACTAAATTTAATAACTATAATTAAATTAATAATATGGCACCTAACAGCTACCTTTAGTGCCAAATTATTTAGCATTTAATTAATCGTAGTAGTAATATAGCCTGATACATATTAAAGTTAAACGATTGCTGGGTTTTATTTGTTGATATTTGTAAGTTTCATGAAATTATTCTGAAAAATTCTATGCTAAAACACAAACATGGCATTTAGTAGTCATTCACACTCACCATCTCTTGAATAGTTGGAGATTTTCAACATAGTCAAATCAGAAGAAAATATTGCCTGATTTATTAAAAATATGAATCAAAGACAAGATATTAATTTTCTCATAAATATCTCGTTTCTTAAAAACTAACTTCGAGAGGAGAGGGAGTCACTGTCAACCCATTCATCAAAGGGTTAAAAAAAATCTGCTACCTTTAATTCTTTGAGTTGTTCTACTATTAATATATATATATATATGTAGCTCCTCATTCTGGTTGCAAATTGTGGCCACAACAAACTCTTAATTTGTCTCCTGCAGAATATTATAAAGTGTTTGCATTCAAAGAACTTATTGTAATTCCTTATTTCACCAGGAATCACCTGACCAATGATGTCTTGAATTTTTCAGAAAGCAAAGCAAGAACCAGTTACTCTCTCAACTCATTACAGATTGTTTGAAACCTATAGTATGCCTATTGTCCTAAATCATGAGGGAATGTTGGCATTCTTGAAACTGCCTATCTAACTTTTCAAACTAAACTATCAATATCATCATCGATATTACATTTGTCATGCTAATTCTAACTTGACATTATCTTCACTACCTTGAGATCAGAAAATCAGTTCTCCAGGAAACACTTTCCTTGTTTTTTTATGGAGAATTATTGTCAGGCTACCATTTTACATTTGGATTGTAAAGTACTATATTATTTTTCCTACTTTCCAACGATTATTGACACTACTGTGTGCCGGGAATAGCCGTTCCCTAACGGGTACTTTACGCGGATTCGCGTTAGTGTGCCAGGCCTGGACTTTAAGCGTGCACCGAATTAAATAATGACAAAGTTTGTCAATAACAAAATCAAATATTTAATTAAACTTCTAGTAATAAACTATATACAGTATTTAGTAAAAATCAAACAATAATTTATTCAATGAAATTCAACAAGAATCAATCCGACAAACTCAAATCAATCTATTTCTAACTTAATTCTATTCCCCTTTGGAATTCGACAAAATCAAAGAATTAACTTATAAACAATAATTCTTATAAATTAAAGATCCTAATCGTCACCTCAATATACTAGGAACCTATTTCCTCAAACTCTCAAGACTTTCTATAATCGTCGATCCACAAATCGAATAACTTCAAAATCCTATCGGACACCTCTCTCGTTCACTGCTACGAAGCTCACCAAAGCTCGTTGCTATCAGGAATTCACCTCGTTCGTTTTCACTTGAGTTAGAGGCTTTATAGTGTGAGGTGACGTCACAATTCTGAATGAGCTCACTCTCCTCATTTACATACTTATCTGTAACATTAAATTTTTCTTGTTTATCTGGCAGATTATTTTCCGACAATACTTCGCTAACCTTTTACATTATTCTTTTTAACAATTATCGGGATGCTTTATTCTTTTAAGGTTTAGCGATTCCTAACTGGGTTGTGGGGTCTTCCCCCCCCTTTTTCTCGGTGCGGACTTACTTTTTTCCGCTTGGGGTGCGCGAGTTTTTCTACGGCGCTTTTCTTTCGTCGGTGAGTTGGTTTTTCTTCTATTTTTAAGTTACTAAGGTGAATGGTGAGGAAACCTTTGTCTTAACTAAACATAAGCCCCAAACAAAATATAATGAAAGCAAAATAAAAGTAAAATAAAAATAAAGCTCAGACTTGGTTCCTTACAGGATGAGGAAAGGATATCAACATAACTCCTCAGCAACTGCAGCAATAATGAAACTTCAAACCTTATTGTGATATCCTTTTGTGGTAATGGAGTATGTCAGTTCTCCTATTGAGTGGATTTCCTCAAAGAAAAAAAGTCTTACTGTAAAAGTTATAGTGAAATCTTACCAAATGGAACATGCTACACATTTAAAACCCAAATTTGATGGTTTTGGATGTTTACAGTCACATTTTGCTCTGTGGGAATCTAGAAAAATCTGGATGGAGAATTTTTTTTTGAACAGTGTGTCCAGATAAATTGGTTTCATCTCTCATAACATGGTTGTCCCCATTGTGGAATGGCTACAGCTAAAAGGTCCTTTCAGTGCTCTTGGGCAGGGAGAATTAAAAAAGTTCCATTCATATAAAAATGACACATTTTATGAGAAGTATTGCCCAACATCACATATAGTTGACTTCCATTCTTGACAGAAAATTCAGGCTTAAAAGACAGTCTGTTTCTGGATTTCCTTGTTGCAGCCGACAATGAATGAGTAAAACTTTACAAAGGACCTTTATATAACATATTCAGCTGCTTTGCTACACACATGCACCACTACAACTAACAACAGGAATGCAGACAATGGATATTGCAACTTCTGTAATCTCAGTCTGTACATATAATATCATACACTTTTATGTTTAGGTGCTAAAGATCATGTTTCCTCAAATTTTTTAATCATTACTATTAACAGTTTGTGGACCAGTACTTTTTTGACTATTACAGTTATGACAGCTAAGCATTACACTATTTTAATAAAATAACTTCACAGTTAATATACAATTGGACAAAATGGGATGCATGTTTAGCATGACTGTCGGATGTTTGGGATAGTTCTTTTTGTGGCCTTTTTTCCCTGGTATCAATCAATTTTATGAAAATTTTCCAGGTTTTGTATAGAAATCCTTTTCTATATAAAAATATTTAGTTTCAATGGAACGTTAGAATCAGTATACCTAACAAACTGCTAAAATAATTTGAAAAATATATAAGCATCCGTTTCTGGAAGAAAAATCTCCAGAACTTTACATTCAATACTATGCAGTTGTATGATTTCAATTCTTTCTGTAAAGGCAATAATACATCACAAAATTTAATTTTGTATGCATTAAATGTTAACATTAGTATTATTAGCAATATTCCTATTTTTAACGGCATTCTCATTTTTAGCGAATATCTCGATTCCGATGCCAACTGCCCGATAAATATTGATTCTAAAAGTTACGAAATCACAAAGAGAAATATGGAAACTCCCGACAGATGGACTTTTAACGAAGCCGCAGTATGTTAAAAATAATTAAATTATATTAATACGTAAATTATGTAGAAGAAATATAAAATTTAGTCACATTTTATATCGATTACAGGCACATTTGTATCAGTTGATGAAGAACGATAGTTATCCACGTTACTTGAGATCAGAAATGTATAAAGAATATCTAAATGGTATGAAGAAAAAGGTGAGTTTAATATTGTAAATAGTAAAAGGTATTATTAAAATTATCTAATTTAAAATTTTATTTCTTTAGACGTCGGTTAAAGGCATTAGATCTGTTATTTCATTTTCTGCCAAAAAAGAACAAACATCTTCCTAGCCTAGTGAATGTTATGTGAAATGTTAAGAATCAAGATATCATAGGTAAAATTTTTTAAAGGATTTTTGATGTTTTAATTTCTTTTAACGATTGCTAATGAGTTTTAAATAATTAATATATTTTAAATATACAATATTAACATTCACACCAGTTCTTGCTTCGTCGGAGTGTTGTCACGTTCCGATAAAATGGGAACCGGTGCAATTGTTATTTATCGAGAATCAAAAACTAATTGAAAGTTGGCACTTACGATTTTAATAATATATTTCGTATTTCCAGCAATGCAAAGACTTAAACACAGCTCTCAAGCCTTGGCATAGGGTCCTAGGAAAGCATTTGTTTTGGAGAAGAGGTGATTATCGACAGAGTGCAACGTTCCGCACGAAATTATTAATAGAAGGCTGTATATTCAACATTTCTTCTTCCAGCCCGTGCGTCAATGAAATAGTCATGCACGAACCGGAATTCTGCAGTAAGAATTCTTTGACGTGACAACATGGGTACCTACTTATGAAATTTACTGTGAATTAAATTTGAAAAAAAATCCTATATACATAGTACAGCTTATATGAAAAAAACAAAATGAAATTCAATAACTTTTTATCTATTAATATTATTAATTTTTTCTTAAAAAGTTTACCATTAAGTGATTATCTTGTTGATTAATACAAATTAAAAAGTTTATATTATTATTATTACCATAAGTTTTTCATATATTTAAGAAAAAGTTATATTAGCATTTTATTTTCGCGACAATTTTCTTATATAATTATAGAGATAGAACCATCTTTAGAGGATAAAATGAACATAATATTATACAAACATGCATCATAAAAAAAAAAAAATAATATCATTTTTGAACAAAATTTCATAATTGTTGTGACATCGTGTATTAGTATGTATGAGAGAAACAAATTCAAGTCCTCTCACAATTATATTTTGTAAAAGTGAGATAGTGTAAGTGAAATGTCGAATCCTCTTGTAAATACACTTGCCGTGCTCTTCATAGATACGATATTTTTGTGTATGTGTATAAATTAATTGATGAATGAGACGTTACATGAGATTGTAAATATATAAATTCAGTATATAAATAACATATGGAACAGGTTTGCGCTTTTATTGATAAAGAAAAGGGACCAAATCTGATATCAAGCGAAATAGTAAACTGTTGAAAATTGTTGGTAAATTATTAACATTGTTGCATGCTATTGACTGGCATTTATTTATATTCTATAACATAATAATTTAAATGTTTTAAATGTAATTTAAAATAATGAAGAGTTAGAGTTTAAAATTGTTGTTAGGAAAATTTTTAACCTGGTTGAAAGTAGAAATTTGAAATGTTATCCTGTCGATAATGCATTGAAATTCGAGTGCATCTTGCAGAATGTTTAATAAATTCTGGCTGAAAAATTGAACAAATTTTCAAAAGCACAATATCGATAATACTGTGATGGTTACTTTTATTTAAATTATGTGGAGTAAGATATAAAACTTCTTTAAAGTTAAACTTCTTGCAAAATCATATCTGCTTTTATAGTAATTTCTCTATACATATTCCATTTATCATAAACTTTTTAAAATTACTAGTAGTATTGTGGCGCTTACTGTAATTCAGAGTGCCAAAATAAAAAATGAAGTGTAACGTTAAAAACTGACACTCGATTAAATTTGCTCATAAATAGAACAAATCTAACTTCGTTATTCATCATAATTAAATGTTACAAATTAATAAATGTGAGAATTTTGGAAAACAATATAATAATAAATATTATGCATTACCTCTGGCATAATTTTTTAATCAAATTATCGGACGCGTGCAGAATGCAATCGGAAATTCTGTCCGTAAGGCACTGAAAGATTTAAATGTTTCATTTATATCTTAATATCAAAAGCCTTAAATTAAAATTGGATAAAATCTCTTGGAAAAAAATCATATAAACTGCAAAAAAATTAAAAACAATTGGAATTTTATCTGTCATATTAAAGGCTTAAGTGTAATGTACTTGACAATGTGTATATTATTCATACCATATATTCATGTAAAATATATTTTTGTTATATATGAAAATGTAATTTCACATCATGTGTTCAAATGTAAAATTTAAAATATCCCCTTACCATAGACAATCTACCGAATTTTATGATTTTACTACATGTGTCGTTCGATTGCTTCTACGGAGAATGTTTTCCATTCATTTTCTTTAAATGCTCTTTAGTAATATTTTAAAAATTATAATTAAAAAGCTAGAAATAATTTGAAATATTCAAAGTAAACATTCATGTAGAATATAAAATTTTTTTACTTGCCACCATTAATATGCTGTGCTTGGTCTTGTGGGATTGTTATAGTCTGAAATAGTGCTTTGCCGGATTTTTTACAATTGTTTTTCTTTGAGAATTAAGAAATCGTAACAAAATTTGCTATTTCATTGAAATATGATTTCCATTATAATAGTATACAGATTTTGACGAGCTTATTGTAAAAAGTTCGATATTTATAATTAAAATGTCATTGTTTATTGTTATATAATAAATAAATCCAAAAAGAAAATAAAAACATGAAAAGTTTACTATTTCATTTTTCAAAAATTAGTTTAAAACAAGCAGCTTATAATATTTAGGCGTATAAAAAAATATTCTTTAAAAAAAAAATGACGATTACTTAACATAATCTTTCATATTTCCACCACCCTTTGCAGAAAAATCTATCTAGAAAAAATCAAGTCACATGCTTGATATCATGCCTAATTAGTATCCTTTATTGACAACGCCCAACATCTTGCATAAAATTTCACTCTAGATATCGGACGGTATCAACAAAGGACGCTGATTATGCATGATACTGAGTGCATAACTCAATTTTTGATAGAGCCTTTTGCTCTGGGGCAGTAGATTTCTTGTAAGTTTGTTAATTATTTAAACAATAAAATTAAAATCTGAAATTATAAACATTTTTGTTTTGTGCATTATGATAGTTATAATATATAATATTGTATATCAAAATGAAAGTATCAATTTGAGCAATGTCTTAATGGTATATCAAGTTTTAATTGTGATAAATGGAAAATTATGTATAAATGAGATTTTTTAAGTAAGTTTAGAAAATGATATATACATCATATCAATGTTGTAATATTAGTTTGTTATTAACATTTTTTAATATGAGTTTTATTCATTAAAGACATTCCCTAGTATTATTCTACGTATTAAGTTTTAATTGTTTGCATTGTCATACGTGTAAATTATAGCACAAATTGAGATAGTAAAACAATAAAAAGTCATCATTCATTTGTACATATTCAAACTATGAATAATTTCTAACCTTACTGTTAACCTCACCCGTATAAGTTGAGTTTTAAAAAAAATGTATCATAATGAATCATAGTTATTTTGATAAGATGTGATCATAAAAGTTATAGTAACATAAATAATTTTGTCGTAGACGCAAACTTTTTTCACTGATATATTGGAGACGAGTTTGACGATTATGAATTATATGTTTGACGAGAAGAGATCCTTATTTTAAGACCTACGAAAGTCAATACAGCTAGTGTGGCCTCGAGAAAATTAATAAACTTAATGATGGCGGACTGAGAATTGTACTTAAGATTAGTTACGCAGTATTAAAACTAAAATTCAGTTTTGTATTATTATTATGTGCACATAAATTATTGACTGATGTCACTTTTATAACCATGTTAGTAAAGTTGTGAATAAACTTTGAATTTACAAATCATAGTAAACTTTTGAGTTTTTTCATAAAATTACTTCCTTAAACTAATGAATATGAGCCAAACAATTGTCATATTGAATCGGGCTACTTTACCATGTATTGAATTTAAGAGATGGCACCTAATGCCTACCTCTAGTATCAATTACTCAGAATTTAATTACTAATAGTAGTGGTAAAGTAGCCTGATTCAATATGGCAATCATTTGTCTTATTAGTAAACATCAAGGTGTTTGATGTTTACTAATTTTGAGGTGTTTATATATATATAAGAAATTCATTATTACGTAAGATAAAACACTAAGAAACAAAACACAACAACCACTTACTATTTTAAAAGGGTAAAGTTTAAAGTATGAAGCAGGATCTTGGAATAAGCTGTCAAGTAAATGCTTCACTGCCCAACGTGCAAGGTATAATGGTGCATCACTGCATAACATAAATGCAATGTAAGCATGTTAAATTTACTGGTACAGTTAGATTTAGGTTAGCAATGATATGGATATGTAAATAATCTAAATTAATTTAATGGAAAATATCAAAACCAACTGAAAACTACATTGTATATATAGTTGTGTGTGTAATAATTGCAACTATAACTTATTTAATAACAGTACATCAGGTCATTGAAGAATAGTGGCAATGACCATGCAGCCACTGTGGCATATATGTTTGCACATCCACAGGAATGATCTGTCGAGGAGGATGCCACCCAGAAGGACTTTTTATGGAAAACTGATCCTATTTAGGTGTTACAAATGCAAAGAAAACTGTAAAACTTCACACAGACAGCCCATTGACAAGGCATGAACCTACAACCAACCACTGGTGGGTATTAGTGTGGCATTGAATTCTGCATGAATGCAATGTGCACTTCAATGCCAACAACAAGCACTACATGAGGGTGAGGAACAGCAATAAATGGATTGGTACAATTTTTCGATAAATATGATAGATGTAAATTAAAATTTTATTGAAAACATTGTGTGAACTGATATTTGCAATAAAGTTCAGATATAAAATACCCAAGATGAAATCTTAAATTCCATCTTGGATATTCATTACCCAAGATACAATACACATTACATGCACTAATGGGCACAAAAGAATCCATACTGGGCATGGGACACTCCATCAAGTGAAATTGCCATCAAAATTTGATGCAGTATTTGGGGAAAACAGTTAATTGGTCCTCTGTTTTATGCAGTAATGTTGATTGAACAGAGGAATTTAAATAACATTTTGAATGGCACAGTAGCAGAGTTTATAGAAAACCTTTCATTGCAGCATTTGTGCATTATGTAGTTTCACCACACAGTAATGCAGTGTGGGATTGGATGGACATTTATTTCATATAACAAGGAGTAGGTCAGAATTGACTAGTGAACTGACTGCCAAGATTCCCAGACCTTATACCAAAGTCTGAAGTCAAAGGTTTACAAAATACAGTCATTGAATGCAAACGATGTGCAACAATGTATTCTGAATGCAAGTGCTACATAAGACAACAAGTTGATAGTCATACAAAGCTGTTGTTGGAAAGGTAAAGCATGTTTTGTTGTGAAAATTAGTCATTTTGAGCACACACAATAAACAGCACATATAAACATCTGTAGTGTTTATAAAGCCAAACAACCACCAGGTTACATTGGGCTATTTTTACAATTAAATTAATATTTATTAAATAATGTAGAATATTCTGGAAGAAAAGAATCAGCCCGGAGCAGGAGTCAAACTTGCAACTTCCACTTACCATGCAGATGTGTTGTCAGTTATGCTACCGAGCCTCTTACAGA